GCCATGCTCAATACTCCCAACGGTACCAGAAGGTCTCACTCGTTGTTCCGGAAACATCTATCACCTTTTCATCCATCGGCTTTCGCAAAGTGCGCGCCGAGACGCCCGTACCGAGCACTTTTCGCTGTTCCGACGAAAGCCTGAACAGCATATGGACAGATGGGGTGCGCACCGTCGACATGTGTACCGTTCGCCAAGGGGAGACACGGCCAGCGTGGGACGTCACAGAGGACGGAACGCGTGTCTTTGCCGGCCACTGGGCTCCCTGTCGTCAGGGTACTGAATGGACCGACAAGATTGTCGAGTTCGAGGTGACGATTGGCCGTGTTGGAGCTAGTTGGGGGGTTCATATGGTTGCCAACGGTCTGGTTCTCTGCCTCGATGCTGACGAGAGGAAACTCGAGGCCTTTGAAGGACTCTCAAATCAGTCCTCGATGATGCCCGTGGTTCCAAGAGGGAGCTGGCCATTGCCTGCCGATATGAAGTTGTCCGGTTGGCTGGCCGTCCGCACCATCGTGAAGGAAGGCACAGTCACTATTGTCATTGGAAATAAGCAGGTGGCTGAGATCAAAGACGTGCAGATCAGAGGTATGCTCTCCGGCGGCAAGACGAATACCGGATCCGTTGCGTTTGGGGGGCCTGAGGGCTGGCTTTCGATGTACAGAAACCTGACCGTCTCGGACCTGGACGGCGAGAAGCTTTACAAAAACAGCATGCAGGCACCCGAAGCCGCGGACGTGTTTGCTGATTTCCAGGTCGGCACGAATCCACTGGCCTGCACAGTTGATGGGGCCAAACGGGACCGGGCCTGCTTCGGAGGCGACGTCTTCGTCATGGGCCGCTCGCTGGCGTATTCAACGGTCGACTTTGAGGCCTGGAGGGGCTCCATTAGACTGCTCGTGAGCCACCAGACAGCCGAAGGCTACCTGGGGAACCTCTGCCCGATCCAGACGCCAGAGCATAGAGACGAGGGCCCGCCTCCGTCTTATGCTTTCTATTCCCTCACTTATGCTTTACTTTTGGTGGTCTCCATCAAGGACTACTGGATGCACTCGGGAGAGCGGGAAGCAGTTGAGTCTTGCTTCCAGAAGCTGGAGAAGCTGATTCACTATGCGGACAAGTTCACCAACGCGGCAGGCCTCATCGAAGCACCTCCCCACCTGCAGAGTAAGTTCACATTCATCTGCGAAACCTCAAACAAATCGACTGACTTGAGTACAGTGACCTGGTTTCCAATGGGCGGCCCGGTATTTGGTGTGTCCTCGAGCCTCAATGTTGCCTACTACGACGCCCTTTTATCCATGGCCGCCATGTCCCAAAACGAACTTTCCCGTCCCTGGTACTTGTCCAGAGCCAGCACGTTGAAACGAGCAATGGCTGAGCTTCTCTGGAATGACGAGCTCGGTATCCTCCGAATGGGTGCGTCGCTACCCGCAGACGGGTTCAGTCAGGACGTCAACGCCTACGCGCTCACAAAGGCCATCGTGCCCCCTCACCCGAGACTCATCGAACGCCTGTCTTCACCCTCCGGAGATCTCCCTGCCGCTTTCCAGGACCTCGGCCACTGGGGCGGGTTTGGGGTCGCCAGTCCCTACGCATCTGGATTTGCCGTCGAAGCGCTCTTCGCCCAGGGCGAGGCCCAGCGCGCCGTGGATCTGCTCCGGGCGGTCTGGCATCCCATGTCCGACTCGACGGGTCCCAACTACTCGGGAGCGCACTGGGAAGCGATGAAACTCGACGGCTCGCCACTGATGCACGACGTCTCGCTGGCGCACGGGTGGGCCACGTGGCCCGTACATCTCTTGCCCAGATACGTCGCCGGCTTGTACCCGCTGACTCCCGGATGGAAGGACATTGGTGTCGAGCCTGTGCTGGCCGACCTGAGCTCTGTCGAATGCTCCATCGCCACGCCTGCGGGCGAGGTGCGCGTGTCTGTGGTGCAGCAGGACGACAGGTCAAGCGGGACGCTCTCTGTGACCATCCCCGTGCACTCTAGAGCCGTCGTCAAGCTGCCAAAAGGCTGGGCTTTGGAAGGGTCGCAGGAAATAGCAGGAGACGGTCGGGCCGTGACACGTTCTTTCCATAAGCTGTGATGACAGGGCATCGGATCTGCATGGTAGGCTCTTCATATATTGTGAGACGCTCAGCACCGGTTGTCGTTCGCATGTCAATCGAAGAATCACACGCATCAAGAGTTGGCCGAATGAGGCGAGTTCCAGGGTATAACCGAGTGTTGGTCGTCGACAGCACGTTGTTGTCGGCGCCACATCTCTATCGCTTTCTCTAAACATTAAACATTTGCATAGTGTATCCATAATTCCGATACCCCTCATCTTAGACCTGCTCGACCTGTCGAACCTCTTGGACTTCTTGGACGACCTGTACTTCGGGGCCTTCTATCTTCTTCACCTTCCGGCCCTCCCACCACGACATGAGCCCAGCCGCCATGGCTACACCACAGCCAAGTGCAATGAACGTGCCCGTCGCCCAGGACTACATGACAAGGATCAGCGATAGAAAAATAGATTCCCATGAAGGAGCGTACTCACCGGACGATCGAACCGATTGTATCCCCACATGAAGCCGCATAGCACAGCCTGCAGAAACGTGTTGAGCACCATCATCCAGATGGTGAAGCCAAGCTTCCAGAGGGGCGTCGGTGGCGCCCTCTTGCCGGTGAACGTGCTGGCGATGTCGGACGAGTCCTCGTCCACAACGATACCGTCGCCTCCATCCCCGGCAGCCCACGCGGGCGGCCGGAACCAGGACTTGTTCTGGTTCGCCAACTTCCGCATGGCGGTTTGCTTTTTGAAGTTGACGGCCCTGATGTAGTAATACAGGTCGCGGAACCGCCACGGGGCCAGGCCGAAACCCGTGACGCAGAAGAGGGCGTTGAGAATCTGGCTGGAAATCTCGAGCCAGATCTTGCGCGGCGAGTTGTCGGCATCTGCAGACGGGTGGTTCATCGCAGGAGCGGCCTTGAGCAAGAGGAAGAAGAGCATGGCGCCCCATGCCTGTGCATCGTCAGCGAAGGCGTGTCAGTAGAGAGTCCTAGAGAGTACGCACCACAATGTTGAGGCCATAGATGGTGATCAGGAAGCCTGACGGTGTGATGAAGAATTTCCAGAAGGCTTTGAGTCCGTTCATGATGGTCGGCCCCCACTTGGCCTTCTCCTGTGTCGTGCGCATTTCGTGAAGACTTTTGCGTCGCTTGAGGTCCTGGCGAGGTGGCTCGGGGGCGCCTTGGGTGTTGGTGATCTCCTCGGGGGCGTCGAGGACGCCGTGGGCCGCGGTGACGTCGTTGTACCGGGTGTCCATGGGGTCCACCTCGGGGATGGGTTCGGGGCTTGTCTCCTGCTGACCAGGGCCGAAGCCGGATTGGCGTCTGGTGACCCAGCTGCTGACCAAGGCGAGTTCGCCGTCGGGCTCCTCCCGGGCGACGCGGGTTGAGTGGCCTTGTGCGTTGAAGGCGATGTGGTCGCCGCCGAGCTCAGGATCGCGCAGCTCTGTCAGATTTGGTGCCTGAGCGATTGCTGTGCCGGTAGCTTGCCACATGCCCAGCTGAGGGTTTGCGTTGATCAGCGAAATGGAAGCACCGCGAACACGACCGACGAGACTTCGGTTGCTTGTGCTTGTGGTACCTATGGTGCCTGTGCCTGTCGCGGATCTCTCGGGTGGGGCGGGACGGCCGGCACTTGTTGCGTCGTCGGTCGTCGGTCTCCTGACAGGACTGAAAGCAGCTGGTTCCGCCATGATGGGACCCCGTGGACTGCCAAGTATGCTGTATTCTTTCGGGAATTGACGGGGAGGAAAGAAAAAAGCCCAGAAAGCAAGACCAAGGTGACCCCAGGGTCCCGGGGGGTTTTTGGAAAGGGAGGAGGGGGGATGCGAGTGCTAAAGTAGAATTGGCGTCTCAGGGTCGTGGCATGACTTGCCGTCGCATACCAGCGTGCGCACCGGGACCAGCACCAGCACCAGCGCCAGCGCCAGCCGCCTGAGACCCGTTTTTGCCTCTGTGGGTAGGCAGTTGGCCGGGACCCCGGGGCGCCCTTGCTCCCGCAACCATTTATCAGGTCATGCTCATCGGAATGGAAGTCTCGACCGCTGGACTGACGCTTGCGCCTGCCAACTGCCAAGCCCACTTCAACCCGCGGTTTCCCTCGGTTTCTTTGGTACTTGGGCACTGGCGAAACCGAGGCGCGGTCTCGGTCTCGGTGCGCGGCAAGCAAAGCAGGTGCGCCTCTCTCGGAACGGCTGGCTCCTGCTCGCATAATGTGACTAAGCGCACTGCAGTTCCCGTCTCCTGCCTGCAGCTGAAGCTTGCTGGACCAGGGGCGAGAAGGGGACTTCTTTCCTACCTATCCACGGCGCGCGCCGGCCACTTCCTGTCTGCCGTGACTGATTGACCCGCCCCGACGTCATTTCAATGGACGCCAATCACCAAACTCCCATCGTACAAAGTACAAGCCTCCGAGAATGTCAAGGATGCTCAAAAGCTTGCCCCAGGGCAGCGAACCAACCATTCGTCCCGTGCCCCGCCGCCTAGGCCCGTGCCCTGAATCAGCACCACAGCCACTAGTCGACTACCATCTCTAGGTGCCTTGCGCTATCCACCGGTGCCGACGGATGCGGTTTGGATGCAAACTCTGGTGGCCGGCTTACTCGGACACGGCCATTACAGCCCATCCGTCATCATCCTGATATGAACTTTCACTGCCAGCTGAATGATTGCGTTGCTTGCATTGTCCACGGCGAGTTTCCTTTCTACAGCCCGCGGTGACCAACTTTGTCGCTCCTCGGCATTAACCCACGATCCCCCTGCGCCGTGCCGGCCAAAACCCACAGCCATCGTCATTCATCAATCAACATTGTGTACTTCATCCACCGCGCTTTTTCGTCCCAGGACCAGACACACATATACGACACACCACGCGCCCACAAGCCCCATTCTGCTGGCACGAACCTGACAGCAACGCTGCGACAAATGCTGGCAAGCCGCCATGGCCCTCAATCGCATCTCGTCACGAGGCCTCGGCCACATCGCCCTCGACGATGCCAACGCCAACCCAACCACATCTAGCAACGTCGGCAACGATGGCCGCGTCAACGTTCAGTTTCATGCGAGCCCCAAGATGCTTGCTGGATGGGTCTCGCGATTTCAAGGCAACTTTTGCGATCGTCCACCACCCAGACACCCGCCAAAAGTCCGGAAGGGGAGCTACATACCCTTTGACGACGACGAATCCCACTGCCCGCGCCTGCCTCTGTGCATCGCCATCCACATTGTCGGGTCTCGAGGCGACGTCCAACCTTTCATCCCCATTGCCCAGCTCCTCAAATCAACCTATGGCCATCGCGTACGCATCTGCACGCACCCCGTCTTCAAAGACTTTGTCGAGTCCAATGGCGTGGAATTCTTCAGCATCGGCGGCGATCCCGAAGCTCTCATGGCCTACATGGTGAAGAACCCGGGTCTGTTGCCCAGCCGCGAGAGCATGCGAGCCGGCGACATTAGCAAGAGGCGCGCCGAAATGTCCGAGATCATCAACGGCGGCTGGCGCAGCTGCATCGAGGCTGGCAACGGCATGAGCAAACAGCCCCTCAGGGCGGCGAACGTGCCCGACCCAAAAGATCTCTTCATCGCCGACGCCATCATTGCCAACCCGCCCTCCATGGCGCACATTCATTGCGCCGAGAAGCTCGGCATCCCGCTGCACATGGTCTTTACCATGCCGTGGTCGCCGACCGAGGCCTTCCACCACCCGCTGGCCGCCATGAACTATGGTGATTCCGACGCCAAGTCCGCCAACTACCTCTCCTTCATGGTCATGGAGCTTCTGACGTGGCAGGGGTAAGTTGCGGTTCCCCAGAGTACGCATCGGACCGTGCACTAACCGTGACAGCCTCGGGGACATCATCAACAAGTTCCGCATGCAGACGCTGCACCTGGACCCCATCAGCCCGATGTGGGGTTGCAACCTGTTGCCACGCCACCGCGTTCCGTTCACCTACCTCTGGACCGAGAGTCTGATTCCCAAGCCCGACGACTGGGACTCGCACATCAAGATTACGGGCTTCTCCTTCCTGCCCATGGCCAGCAAGTACACACCACCCGACGACCTGGTGGCCTTCCTCCAAGATGGGCCAGCCCCTATCTACATCGGCTTCGGCTCCATCGTCGTCGACGACCCCCAAGCCCTGACGCGTCTCATCTTCGAGGCCGTCAGGCAAGCGGGTGTTCGCGCCATTGTGTCCAAGGGCTGGGGTGGTGTCGGCGCCGGGGATGTGCCGCCCAACGTCTATCTCATCGGCAACTGCCCTCACGACTGGCTCTTCCAACGCGTCTCAGCTGTGGTCCATCACGGCGGTGCCGGCACCACGGCGGCTGGTATCGCGGCCGGCCGACCGACGGTTGTTGTCCCATTCTTCGGCGACCAGCCATTCTGGGGCAAGATGATTGCGCGCGCCGGTGCCGGCCCGACCCCTGTGCCGTTCAAGGCCATGACGGCAGAGACCCTCGCTGCGAGCATCACGTTCGCCCTTCAGCCCGAGGTGCAGGTCGCCGCCGAAGTCATGGCCGAGCACATTCAGGAAGAGGACGGCGCCGGCGACACGGCGAGGGACTTCCAACATCGCCTCAACGTCGATGAGCTGCGCTGCGACATCTTCCCGGAAAGGGTCGCCATCTGGCGGCACAAGAAGACAAACTCTCACCTCAGCAACTTTGCCGTAGGCTGCTTGATCAACGAGAACCTGATTCAGTCGCACGACATCAAGCTGTTGCGCCACAAGCTGTGGTACATTGACGAAGGCGCGGAGCATCCCATCATTGGCGTCGTCGCGGCAACCGCCGGTTTCTTCACGGCTCTCGGCGTGGCCACTTCCGACTATACACGCCGTCTCAAGGCGCGGCCCAACGTGCTCAGCGGAAAGGTAACAGCGAGCCTGAACACAGCGCCGGCTCCACCACCCCCTGCCGCCGGCGACGCTGAGAAGACGGACGACGATCCTGCGCCGCCCAGCACTGGCGACGCTGCCACAAATGATGACATCGGGAGAGTCTCCCAGGCGCAAATGGAGGCATTTGCGCATAGGATGGCCACGAAGACGTTGCGGAAAGACGACAATGTCATGACTACCGATCCGCGGGCTCTAACGTCCCACGAGAAGAGGAAAGCGAGCTGGGCCGCCCGAGAGGAGGGCAAGTACGGCCGCGCCTTCTATGTCACGCGCGCCACCGGTCGATACGTGGCCAACCTCACCAAGATCGGACTCAAGGCGCCCGTCGCGATGATGTACAATATCGCCAACGGCTGCCACAACTATCCCTCGTATGGTAATTTCGGCGTCCCCGTGAGGCCACGAGACCCGATCACCGGATTCGGCACCGGTCTCAAGGCGGCTGGCAAGGGGTTCTACCTGAGCGTGTGGGACGCCTTCAGTGGCGTTGTCGTGTTGCCGTACTGCGGCGCGAAGGAAGGAGGCGCCATCGGCACGCTGAAAGGCATCTACCAAGGTGGACGCGGCTTCACTTATAATCTTGCATCAGGTACGTCGCCCCGTTCGCGCTGACCTTGGTTCATGGAGCTTTGCTAACACGCTGTAGCACTTTTTGCTTTACCAGGATATTCAATGAAGGGCATTGAGAAAGAATACTCAAGGCACCATCTGACCAAGCTGAAGGCCGAAATCTTCCTCATCCGAATTAGGCAGGGCATCGAGGAATTTAGAGAATCCACCCAAGAAGAGAGGGACGGCGCAGTGGCGCAGTGGAAGCGGTTGCGGGCGTTGTAAGGGCTTCGATTTGGGCTCGTAAAATGTAATAGATATAGCAAGATACCCCTTTGATTCTCTTCATGTTCTTGGAAATTAGCCTCGTCGATCCAAAGTTTGATGCATATACTCCGGTGACTGAAGGTGACTAAAATATATAAGGCGAGGGCTGGCGTTCATATTTTGGTTTGTTCTGCAAGTAGACGTTCAAATGCCACGCTCCTGCGTCTCCTTCACGGGCGACGGGCAGGGCTCCGTCTGTCGTGGCATTGTTGAGCCAGGCCAGAATCAGACTTTTGCGGCGCATGCACTCATCCAACGATTTCGATAACCCTGTCTCAACTTCCTGGTCTAACTGGGCGGCTTCAGAGCGATCGTAATGTACGCATGAGACGATTGCGATAGCCAAGTAGTCATTGTATCGGTCGCGAGTGGATTTTTGGTCGGATATCTCGGTTTCGTCCTGGGATCGCAGGCGGCCTCATATACTTTACTGGAAACAAGCGGTTGTAGATCTGTTAAAATTGAGCCGGGGGGCCTGCGACTGCCTGATAGAAAGCCGTGGTGGTGCCACCAGAACAAGCCATAGCGGGGAAGCTGGGGTTGAAAGGACTGCCAAGAAGGTGGAATTAGACTGCCGATGCCTGCGACAGCTCGGTTGGGGAACAGCTACTCCCCTCTCGTCTCCGGGGGCGCAGACGATCGAATTGTCAGTCCGTGTTCGCTGCGGTTGACCCAAGACCGAAGTCGTACGGAAAAAGACTGCGTACTGTTGTACTTGGTCATAAAAGTTCTACCTGCATGAGCAGGCCACAACTTTAAGCGTAAAGTTTTGTACATCTCGTTGATCACCTTCGTCATTGCGGTCACTTGTGGCGTGATATGTTGCCAGACGCCCTGGCTGTTTCGAAACCTTTCATGTGCCTTGTATTATTAGTACATACCAGACTTGTTTGACAAAAGCTCAGGATGACGGTGAAGAGGTCGAGTCATCGTAAGCTCTGTTTTATCGCCTTTCCATGCGATAAGAAGCTTACCAGTCTCGTCCACAAGACAAGTAATGCCTTCCGAAGGTGGCGGTCGGAGTCATTACTAGTCATCAAAGATGTCAAGAGAAACAAACGACTCTTCATCGCCCATGCGCGGCTGGGGCACGGGAAACGGGCATCTCTCCGCATAAGTAGCCAATGCTCGGCAGTTCCACTGTGGTCACCCACTTGCAAGTTTCGGGAGGCTCGGGGTTTGATGCAGCACCGCACCACCAAAGACGAACAGGTGAAGTCATCATCGTGTCGACCAGTTGCGGGAGGTATCCGGGTGGCTGTGTTGAATGTGATGAGCTTGAGAGATTTTGTCGCCAACAAAGAAGCTTGAATTCAGGCTTATTGAGCCAGTGTCAGCATCGCGTAAGGGGTAGACGCGTCAGCTAGATCGAAATTTGGAGGGACCATCTTGCCAGCCTCGTCTGGACCACGAAAGAGGGGGCGGTGGGTGATTCCACCATGGAGAGGAGGGGCGGCCAAATTTCGCCGGCCCTGAGGCCTGGGACCCCAGTATTTACATCCCGCCGTACTCGTGGGATCGATCAGTGGGTCGTCCGGGGATTTTGATGATCGGAGGACAGCCGACTGAATACCCCTGCCACGTGGGTGCCGGACGCATTGTGCTGGTATAAACTCTCGATTTCGGATGGATACCGACGCAGAAGGTCGATCGCTGTCAGACAAGTTAAAGGTTCATCTAGACGCGAAACTTTGAACGGCAGAAAACGATGTGTCCAGGGCTGACGAGCTACAGACGTTGGATCGTCTCATCGAACTCAATCAGCTCGTCACGTCGGCCCTCGGTGTCGTGAGCAAAGCCGCCTGGCTGTGAGTGGCCGCAACCGATGTCGCAAAGGATGTCGTCTTGGTCGATATAACGTTTCTTCAACCGAATAAAAGCATCCATGACGACACGACTTTGGGGAAGCTCGCCAAGAAGCTTCGTCTTAGTCAGGGGAACGCCGTATTGGGACGCAACGGAGCTTCACGATTGGCTGGTGCCACAGCAAGTGCATCCTCCAAGACCCCTGTCCTTGGCGCCTGCCCCCTCCCTGCGTCCCTGCCCGTCTGCAGAGCAACACTCGCTAAGGATCGGGCAGGTTCGAACCTGACAAGTGTGGACGCCTCCTTCCCCGGGACCAACGAGCTGCTTCCCACGATGGGATAGGTGAAATCGACAATGGCCATCGCGGTGTCTATGGTGTGTTTTGGTGGGATCGGCGCAAGCTTCTTCCTGGTCCTGATTGTGTTACTGAGCCTGCACAGCCCCTGGATGTAACACGTCGTCCTGGGTTGGGCCGCCTTGGCATTGTCATTGACTGCCCTGTCATTGCGAGCTCACTGTTGACTTGGTTGGGGAGGGTATTGTCGAAGCTGTTGCCCGCGCGTACTTCAAGACGAGCTCCCGCCTCTCAAAAGACACCATCCAGACACAGATTCGACATCTTGCATCCAGAGCTCATCCATCAGCCTCTATCACGCAGCTTCCCTCTGCAGTCTCTACACAACACACACATTCTCACACAACGAACATCATATTCAAGATGAAGTCCTATGCCCTTCTTCCGTTCGCTCTGTCGGCCCTCGTCGCTGCCCAGGATGCTCCCTCGCTCGCTGAGGCCCTCGCCTCGCAGAACGACACGCTCTCTTCCCTCGGCAGTGCGTAGTGACCAACTCCAACATCGGAACCTCATGCTAACACGGACAGGCCTTCTTGCTGGCCAGCCTGCCCTCGTCGAGGCCCTCTCCGGCCTGACCAACATCACCATTCTCGCTCCCAGCAACGACGCCCTGAACGCTCTTCTTCAGGACACCGCCGTTGCTCAGCAGGTTACCTCTGACCCCAGCCTCGTGGCCGCCATTCTGCAGTACCATGTCCTGAACGGTACTTTCCGCGCTGCCGACGTGCCCGATTCGGCTGTCTTCATCCAGTCTCTCCTGTCCAACGAGACCTACGAGCAGGTTGCTGGCAGCCAGGTTGTCGGCGCCGTCGCTGAGGACGACTCCGTTACCTTCTACAGCGCCCTCAAGGCCGAGTCTACTGTCACCCAAGCCGTGAGTGCATAATCAGCCCCTTTTGCTTCATGAGTGTAGCTAACGTCTCCCACAGGACCTCGAGTTCGCCGGCGGTGTTATTCACATCATCGACAAGGTTCTGGCCATCCCTGCCAACGTTGCCGACACGGCCACCGCTGCCAACCTCACTTCGCTCGTCGAGGCTGTGACCAAGGCCAACCTCGCCGAGACCCTCACTCAGGCCGAGAGCATCACGGTTTTCGCCCCCAACAACGAGGCTTTCGCCGCTCTGGGCTCCCTCGACGATATCAGCGAGGAGGACCTCCAGGCCGTCCTGCAGTACCACGTCATTGCGGGTACCGTTGCCTACAGCAGCACCCTTTCCGAAGGCACCGTTGAGACTCTTACTGGCGAGACCGTCAACATCTCCATCCGTGACGGCAACGTCTTTGTCAACGATGCTCAGGTTGTCCTTGCCGATGTCCTGATCTCCAACGGTGTCGTCCACGTCATTGACAGGTACGTTCTTTCAGAGTTCCATTCTCGCACTCCATCTTGTTGACATGATTATCTGCAGCGTCCTCTCTCCCGCCGAGAACACTGCCGGCTCTGGCGAGACCAGCTCTGCCGTGCCCTCGCCCACCGCCGTCCCTGAGGCTGCGGCTCCCCGTGCCGAGGCTGCCATCGCCATTGGCGCTCTTCTCGGTGGCGCTGCTCTCGCTCTGAACATGTAAGCGTTGCCAGCGCCATGGTGTAGGAACTCTGAGAAAGCGTGTCAAGGAGACGTTGTTCGTTACCTCGGCAGGGATATAATGGGAATGGCAGAGTGACACGACGATGACAAGTTGTCTGTGGCATCTTGTTGTGCATGCTGTACATGTAGCGATTGAACATGACATTTGGATTGAAGATGATGTTTGCCAAAGCCAGAAAAGAATTGCAGGTGAAATGTTATGCCACACACCAAACGTGCTGTGTACCAGAACCGACTGCAACTGACGTAACGGGCATCTAGGGCGTCTTCCCGAGAGATCGCAAAGAGGCGGGTTATCGTTGGAAACGAGTACCTATGCATGCGGTCTCTATTTGCAAGACCACAGCGGATTGCACTCACGGTCGGTTCTCTCGGCTGTTGATCTGGCAGTTGTGAGACCAAGCATTGCGAGGTCTCATGTCTAGTAGGACAAGAATCAAAAGACCAGCTCCAGATGATTCCTGAGCAACATCTGACGGGATGCCATGTGGTACTAGATCGTAGGCATAAAATAACAGCTTTCAACACGAAGATGCCATCGAGCTCTCTTGAGTAGCTCAGATGCACCAGTAAAACTGGCGTGTGTCGCACAAGCATTGGATGCAACCTTGGTGACAGGGAAACACAACACGCAGGGCGTTGCATGATCCAGCGTTTTCTGCCCGCAGCGGGAATACTGCTCCAGCGCAGCTCTGATCATGCATCTGCTGCGTAGTAAATCGCCCTCGCATGCGTCTGCTGTGTCACGTCATGAGTGCCCAAAACCATCACATCATGTCAGGGGGTGGGCCTTTTGGGATCGATGTGGCTCGGTGGATCGCCTTGTAGGGCTGGTTCGCTGTGGGGATGGAGGGGGGAAACATGGAAACATGTGGACAAGTCCCTGACCAGGCTGAGCATTGGCCCTGCAGGAACGTCCTGGGTCGCCTTGCACATGGCATGGCGACAACTTCATCGGACGGGTTCACGAACACATCACGCGGGCCTCATCCTCGGCGATCGGAAAGCGAAACCCTTTGGAACGACATGTATTACTATTTCCCACCTCCGAGTGTGGATGCCAAGGTGCACTCCTCACAGCAAAAGACGCTATCGTTTATACCATCCGAATGCGGCTTCATGCCAAGTCCCCTCGAAATGCTCCGTAAAACGCCTCGCCAAGCCTCCTAAATTTCCGCGTGAGCCCCCCGCCCATTTTTTTTACAGAAGGAAAACAGCACCGACGAGACCGGCAGCCGCGGCAAAAGCGGACATGCCCATGCCTCTCGCCGCGGCCGACTCGCTGTCGCCAGAGTCCGTGACGGTGGGCAGCGCCGTCTCGAGCGCGACGGTGGAGGTCGAGTTGGCCGAGCCGGTGAACAGGATGGTGCCGGCGGGCGTGCAGACGTCGGCGGCGGCGGCCGAGTCGACCTTGAGGTGGTCCTTGCAGTCCTTGAGCAGCTTTTCCATGCTGCCCTCGGCGCCCTGGGCCCAGTCGGCGAGCTCGGTCATGTACTCCATGAGGTCCTCCGACAGCGACGAGTGCACGGTCCAGAGGCACGACTCGGTCTGCGACACGACGGCGTCCTCGACGTCGGGGGCGGGCGTGGGCGCCGACCCGAGGATGGACCTGGCCGACGTGAGGCACTCGCCCGCGTCCTGGCGCGCGACGATGACGTTGCTTGCGGGCAGGCTTTGGAGCTTGATGTTCTCGAAGATGCGCACGGCATGGACGACCTCGACCTCGGCCGTGGCGGAGGCGGCGGCGAAAGCCAGAAGCAGAACGGCCTGGTTGAGCATTGTGTTTTTGTTGATGTTGGGGTGCTGGGACTGAGGATGCGTGTGTGGTAGTTGTTCTGTTGGGTAGATGAAGAAGCTGGTGATGGAGACGTTGGGTTGATAAGTAGATTGCTGCGTGATACACAGGACCAAGTGATGCTTGCGTCTCTGGACTTATATACCTGGAGTCCTTGCCTGCTGTGCCGCGCATCTCAGGTCGCTTCGGCCTCACGCGCCCGTTGGCCTCCATCGTTAAACTGCTAGCGTGACGGAGCCTGCAAGGGGCCGATCAAAGCTCGTTCCACCAGGAGACTCCAAGGCCAGCCCAGTCGGGCTGTTCATGAGCGGCGCAGCGAGGCCACCCAGAGACAGCGGCATGTGAGTCAATCAATGTGGCGGCGGGAACTCGGTCATAGCCCCTTGCACAAGACCGCGTTGGACCTCACTGTCTGCCTGCGGCGAAGCAACTGGTTGCCATGCGTGGGCCGATCACTGGGCCTGCCAAGGCACCTTCGCCACGACCAGAATGGGTATGAAGGATCACGGGGCCGCGCTTCCTGGGCAGCACTGCAAACGCATACTCCACTACAACCGTTTTTCTTATTTTTAGCCGAAATAACCAACTTTCCATATTGGATGACCGACAAGTGTTTGCTGTCTGGTTGCGGGGTCCCGGACGCCAATGGACTGGACTGCACGGCGATCAACTTTTCTTACCCGCCTATGTCGTGGGTACCTTACAGAAAAGATGACTCTTTTCGCCGGTCTTTTGCGCACTTCAATCCGCGCGACCAGGTCGTCGAGGACAATCGACGCCGCATTTTACCGAACCTCGCATTTGCCCATCACCAAGAGTGGGTAGAGGACGAGACGGGGACAAGCCAACCCTGAATGCTTGAAGGGATGCCATATCGCCAAGTCACCCTAGAAGCAACTAATAAGATGGAGAGTATGGCGGTCACGCCCCCCTGGTTCCCAAGACTGCTCGGGCCCGAACGCGGCGGGGGAACAATTCAAGACTCCAAGTGAGCTCCATTGCAGGCGCTCCACCCTCGAGTCTGCCTTCTGCCGACGCGGGAGAATGGTGCAGGGTAATGTCGTAGGTTCAAAATTAGCCATCCCGGGCACGTGTGTGTAGGTCTGACATATCAGCATAGGGGGCTGCGCGCTCTCTGTTCGCAGCCTCCCAATGTGCCTTGTCGCATCGGGTGGCACGCGAAGGATCAGACTAGCGCTCGTTCGAGGCCCGCCACCCACGCCAGCCAAGCCTTTCCCATGGCGCGCCGTTGAATAGGGCTGACCACCTAACCGCGTATACGCGAACCAGCGATTGGCATTGACGAGCAGTCGGCCCATCTCCAGCAGACGACGAGACGGACTAGGACCGAAGTGGGTGCAATCTTCGAGCTGGAGCTTCAAGCGGTGAGATCCGACGACCACATGAAGAAGAAGAAGATAGATTCATGCAGCGCTGGACCAGGGAGTTTGTTATGCAGTCTGTTCCTATGCGGTATGCCGTCTTCCTGGGCTGCGTCGTTATGTACGTGCAGCCGGAAATACATCTCGTCGTGGCGCTGCCCCTGCCGGAGGATTCCTGGCCCTGCGATGCTCCAGAGGCGCATTGCCATGTCCCAGATTCTTGGTTTTCTGACGAAATGCCCGGCGAGGCCCCCAATCTGCGGCTCCTGCAAGCTGACACCTGAAGGAATAGTCTGCCAGGTGGAATCCGGGGTTGTCTGGGCACAGTCGTGCAACGTTGTCACCATGCGAGAGTGTCTTGAAAGCGGCTTAAGGAGGGGATGATGAACGTGTGGCACTACCTAGCCGCGCGATTGGTGAGCTTCGTGGCCAATGTCCGACCCAGCAGCTTCAGCTTTCGTGAACAACCTGTAAGTGGACAGATTTTGTTTGTACTTTTCCGAGGCCGCTTGCAAACTTGGCTTCCAAATGAAGCCATAACCCACGTGAGATTCGGACCATCGACAAGCAAAAACAAAACATACAACACCAGGGATTCGCCGGTGGTCACCCACCCGACTACTGGTCTGGCCCTCACTGGTTTATCGATGGGAGAGCGGACGGGATCCCGAGCTTTCCAGTAGGTATGGTCGTATGTGCTGGGCAGAGGATTGTCTGGCGTTGATGTAGACTGTGATGCTGGTGGTGATGTCTGGGTGCAGGGTCGAAGGATTGCGGCAGAAGCTGACCACAGCGGACGTGATGTGCTGACTGACAAAGACCCGACAGAAGGCGCGTTTCCCGCACCGAACATTCTCAGATCACGCTGCGTCCCGCTTATTGGCCAATCGCAGTTTGACTGATTTTGACAATTGTCTAGTAACGTCGACGGCAAGATTGGAACTGGGTCAAGAAGCATTTGGCGTTGCTACATCGATTGGGGGCTGTAACTGTGCTTACTGTGCTCACTGTGGGGGCTTGGGCGCCAATAATCGCCCCCAATGGGTCGTACGCCTCATTGCCCGATTCGAGCGACGGACGGGATAGTACGCATTCGCTTTCGGAGAGCCCGTGCGCTTCGAACGTGTTCATGGTCTCGAGGGGCTGGATATCAAGGTTTTGTTGAAGCAGAGCAATGACGCCGCAAAATTGGTATTTCACGAGAATTGACATGGGGGATTCATACTGTAGTTGCAAGAAACTGTTGTATATTGGCCGCGTCGCCTCGCATGCGAATGCTTTGCCTCGACTACGCATTGGCAAAGCAGCAGTGGAATATTTATATAATCCAGGCCGAGACGCGGCACAACCTGTTCGTTATGAGTTCTCATGCTACCAACCCATCTAAAGCTTCCACACCTGGAGGTTCCTGTATCGGGCCACCAACGGCGACATCTGGCGGAAGCCAATGCGGCCGTCGCGAACGACGGGCCCAGTCGACTTGTCGTCGCGGAAGGAGAAGAGCGGCAGGTCGTTGACGAGGAACTGCACATCGCGCTTGTCCTTGATGACGGTGACGCGGTAAAAGGCGCCGGCGGCGTCGACGACGGGGGGGATGGGGTCGGCGCCCTGGGCGACGAGGTTGAAGCCGGGCGACTTGCGCAGGTTGGCGACGTGAAAGGCGCGCTCCTCGGGCCAGCGGCGGCGGAAGTAGGACGCGTGCAGCGTGCGAATGTCGCTCGAGTGGTACTGCGGGTACTGGCCGTTGCGGGGCTTGAGGCTCTTGTCGAAGATGCTGCCGCCGGCGACCGAGGCGGCGCCAAAGAAGAAGATGGCGAGGCCGGGCTCGTTGCGGGGCGAGAACTCCCAGGTGATGCGGATGCGATCGGGGAAGACCTCGGGCGCCCAGAAGACGAAGTGCTCGTCAATGGTACCTCCGCCCGAGAGCTCGAGCACGCCGTCGACGGCCGTCGCGTTGACGGGACCTTCGGCCACCCAGGTCGCCACGTCCGCGGTCGAATTGAGCGGGTTGCTGTAGAGGAGCTTCTCAGCGGCCATGGTCGGCGCAATGAGGGCCAGAGCCCAGAGGAAAGATGCCTTCATCGTGACGAGTCGACGCGGATGTGGGCGGGCAGAGGCAGTCGAGTGGCAATCGTGAAGCAGGCGCGGCCTTGGAGGGACCGACGGTGACGAGCAGGGGCCGGTTGGGAAGCAGCTCTTGCCAAGATGATGTGCGTGCCCCCTCCAGTCTTTATTATACCTTCCCCGGACGAAAGCATCGCACATCCGGAGAGCGACATTGGGCAGAGAGTGAAGGTGCAGGGACAAGGGGATCGTCGTTGCGTCGGTGTAGTCCAAGCCGAATGACCGAGTGGCGGGAGTTCGTCATGCTCGCGTGCTGTAGGCAAGTGCCGGACTAAGCTCATCCAGGGCGATTGACCCGTAATTGGGGTTCTGTCATTGCAAGCCAAGAAGGTGCAATTAATCAAAGATGCACTTGTCATTCGACCAACGGTTATACTCTACTCGGGACCCTGCAGCTTTGTCCCACATGGTGCAATTGACCCCTCCAACCCGAGGATCGTTGATGAACTGCTCTTCGACGATCAACGAGGAGCATACTTGTCTGGCCGGAATGGTCGGTGCCCATTTTCCTACAGTTGAGTTCGCCTCCGACCACCAACCCCCCCCTGGTGTGTCAACCACGTGGCTGTGACCACACGCCTGCGGCCATGCAGCCGACGACGATGCCTGCATGTGCGTGGCCAGCAGGTCAACACAGACCAGATCCCCATGTCTCAGATCGAGAGGGCTGGTGAAGATGCAGTTGCGATCCATCCAGAAGAAGCCACACGATTGGCACCAAGATGCCCACTTCAAAAGCTCGCCATCGTCGCAATGTCCTCATACTGAGCAAACGATTAATCCCGCGGCTAGACCGGCGTCAGGGCGCGAAATAGCTAGGTTCGATTCGGAACTGTGCTGATAAGACCTTATAGAGCGGCTAGCATGCAGATGAGCTCTGGCTTAGAGACGCATTTCGGATACGTCAGGTCTGTGGTCAGGTTTCGAAGAGTGGCAAGGTTGACCCCCCGAGAAGTTGTCGACATTGGCCATGAAAGCTCATGACTTACCATCCAAAGTAATGACGGCGGGCTCGATGTGGGCGAGAAGTTACTCCAGTATCAAGAGCTTCTAGCACGACCGAGACATATGGCACAATACAAGCGCATGGTAGGATGCGATGGCAGTCAGAATCTGAGGCTGCTCTGTCACGGTAATCGTAAAAGTTTATGTATTCCAGCACAGAGGCGGTCCATCTGACTAGATAACCCCCCCCCTTTCCCATGAACAGTAATATTCAGCGAAGATGCTACCACGATCCGTGGTCTGGAGAAGCATAGCGAGACGTTTCCCGACACCTGGTTCAACAGCGGCTGACAATTTATATGAAGGAGATGTATTTGAGATCATGCCATGGGAGGCGTGATCGGAAACCCTGCCCTTATTCTGGAGTTGAATCCTCTTCGTCGACGGAGTCGTTGTGAGAGGACCGCAAGTCAGGGCTTGCAAGTATTCTCTTGCAATCGGAATGATGAGTGAGTTTTATTGGAGGTCTCAGT